CTAAAAGAATACAAAATTGCACACTAAAACTAAAATTTTGGTCTAAATCCACAAAATCAAAACCTTTTCTTGGAAATGCTCTAGGGTAGATCGAGAAAACACTAATGTGGATTGAAATTTAGTTTAAGAGGAAAAAGATAATTTTTTTATTAAAATAAATTGTGGAAGTTCATATAAAGATGACCATGAAATGGTTGTGTAGAGGGAAAGTGAAATATCTAGGGGAAGAATACATGCGGAAGGGTAAAATGGGAAAATAAATTTCTCATACATACCCGTGACTTAAATACTATGGGTACAGGGGTCTGCGCTAATGAAAGAATAATTCAGGGGGTTTTTGGCTTTTGATTTTCTAATTGGGGGCTGAAGACTTTGCTTCTAAAATCTAGGGGGTTGAAGGTAATTTTCCCTTTAGTTTTCAACCATAATCCTTGGTCTTCTGATTTGGTGATAGATAAGGTTAAGTTACATGCATATTCTTTGCTGGAATTGAAGTTACTTTTTCTTCCTATTGAGCTCAGGAATTAGTTTCTAGCCTACAACCTTCTTGACATGTACGTAAATTTACCAGGGGTATTTTTTTTGTTGTAATGCAATATTTGGGTGCCGGTGTATGTTTTGCTTTCCTCCTCTCGAACTTTGTTTCTTTCTAATGAAAGTATATTTGTTGAAAGTATATTTGGTGTGTTTGATCCCGAAAGTAGACCATCCAGAGTTTGCCTCCCAATTTCGGCCTATTTCATTATGCAATGTCTCAATCAAACTAATTTCTAAGGTGATCGTCAACCGCCTTCGTCCTCTTCTCAAAGATATTATATCACCGACTCAGAGCAGCTTCATTCTAGATAGGGCACTATGGATAACATTGTAGTAATTCAAGAAGTCATGCATTCTTTGATGCATAAGAAGGGCAAGCTCAGGGCCATGGTTATGAAGATTGATCTAGAAAAAGCTTATGATCGGATTAGTTGGGAGTTCTTGTGGTGGGTTCTTATGGATCTTGACCTTCCTTCCGCTCTTATCTCACTTATAATGTTTTGTATTTCTTCTACTGAAATGAATTTACTTTGGAATAGGGAATGACCTCATACTTCAAGCCTTCAAGAGGACTGCGACAAGGTGACCCTCTTTCCCCATATTTATTTGTGCCATATTTGAATAAACTGTCATTAATGATTGAAGCGGAAGTGATGAAGGGTGTGTGGAAACCGTTCCTTGCATCACGTGGGGGACCCCCATTATCGCATCTCATGTTTGCGGATGATCTAATTATTATGGGTGAAGCTTCAGTGGAGCAGTGTCAAGCTATGATGAAGTGCCTCAATAATTTTTGTAAATTTTTAGGTGAGAAAATTAACCTAGCTAAGTCTTGTTTTATCACCTCTCCTAATGTTGCTAGGTCCATGGTGAATAATATACAGTCAAGCTCGGGTATTTTGCACTGTACTGATTTGGGTATGTATTTGGGTGTCCCATTACACATTCAGAAGGTGCATACTCGAACCTACGACCATATCCTCCATAAGATAAAGATGAAGCTTGCATCCTGGAAAGCCAAACACTTGTTACTCGCCGGTAGAGCCACTTTAGTCCAATCGATCACTAGCACGATTGCAACATATACTATGCAGACCTCGAAACTACCTTTGTCGGTGGAAAAAGGAGATCTTGATTCTTTGAACAAAGATTTTTTATGGGGTTCTACAAATGAGAGGAAGAAAGTGGCGTTGATGAAATGGGACAATTTTTGTAAACCGAAGGAAGTTGGTGGGCTGAGTATTCGTCGAACACATTCCATGAATATGGTTCTTCTCTCCAAGCTTGGATGGCGATTGGAACAGGGTGACGAGAGTCTCTGGGCACGCGTTCTTCGATCGAAGTATTGAAAGGGAGCTCCTTCCTCTCATTTGTCGTTAAGCCTGCTTCTTCCCATATATGGCACAACATCGCTGCAAGCAAACCTCTGGTTCGTATGGGTTGCCCTCGGGTCATTAGAAATGGTAAGGCCACACGGTTCTAATCAGACTCCTAGTTAGGGAATAAACCACTGGTGGAAGTCTTGGGTGAGGAGAGTTCACACAGTCGAGAGGATCTAACAGTCCACGACTTCCTTCAACATAAGCATGATTTTGGCAGCCTCATTCAAGCTCTACCCATAGTCTTCAAAATGATCTAAGACTGCTCATGCCTGACATGAGTCATGAAGATAAAATTGTGTGTGGGGGTACTCCGACGGGTGTCTTTACTATGGGTTCTGCCTACAGATTATTGCTTGGGACATCTCGTTTGGAGGGGCAATGATACCTAGTTTGGAAGCCAAACTTACCACCTCGGATCAAACACTTCATGTGGCTTGTGATGCACAATAAGGTGCTTACAAGGGAGGCATGCTTTCAAAGGAATATTACTTGTTCAGCAACTTGTCTGCGTTGTGGTTTTGCTACAGAAAACATCTTGCATCTGATACGGGATTGTAATTACTCTCTTTCCATCTAGTCCTATTAGTTGAATGAAAGGAGATTGGAGAAGTTTATCGCTCTTGACTTGAAGGATTGGTTGCGATTTAACCTCTCCAACTCAAACTTTCTTGTCGGCAACAACATCCCTTTGAATGAGTTATTTTGTTTTGTGTGTTGGTATATATGGAAGTGGCGAAATGGTTCTATTTTGCACCTGATTTTGTTTGGCCGTCTAATACTTTTGGTATTATCATGTCCAATGTTTTAGAGTATAGGTGTCTACGTGAGGTGCCAAGTGTGGCTCTACCAAAGGAACTCAGGATGGTAGCATGGAGGGGGCCACCTAGAGGGTTTGTCAAGATTAATGTAGACGCAGCAGCACGAGGGACTCTAGGAGAGCTAGCCTTGGGTAGTCTTGCCCATAATGAGGAAGGATATTGGTGCTTTGGCTTCATACGACGGTTGGGATATGGGCATATTACCAAAGCAGAATTGTTTGCTATTTATCATGGCTTTGGAGTTGGCATGGGCGAGAGGCTTGCGAAATGTTATCATTGAATCAGACTCCTTATTAGCTGTTGATAAGGTGAATGGGGCTACCAATCCTACTGATCTTCTACATCAAGTGGTTCGGGCATGAAAAGAACTACTGCAACGTAGCTGGAATTGTTTTATGGTGCACATTTACCGTGAAGCTAATATGTGTACAGACTATTTAGCAGCATATGCTTATAATGGAGGTTTTGAAGTTGCCCAGTTGGATCACCCACCAGGCGAACTTCGGAAACTGTTACAGGAAGATATCATTGGTGTTGGTAGGCCTAGGGCTATTGTTGTATGATCTTAGCGGTCCATGACTGCTCAAATGTACCAAAAAAAGTATATTTGGTGAGGCAAAAAAATATAAAAATGAAAATAAAACAAAAATTAAAAATGAAAGAGCCCTATTACAGTTGAATTTACAGGGGAAAAGTTCAATGCATAAATATTGGCAGCCTGACTTTTACTTGTAACATCTACCTTGAAGATGACTTAGGGACCTTGGTAGCTGGATATAGTCATGTCATATTTATAGGGGAAAAAACCACCAAGAGCACCTGATAGCTAGATATAGTCACTTTGTATTTATAGGGGAAAAGCACCACCAAGAGCACTAGGTGCGCTCAACCTTCGGAGCATATAAGAGCATAAAGTTATAACCGTCAACTCTCACCAAATTACCAAAACCCTCGAGCTTTGATAGCAGGAACCTTTGACAACTTACATCCAATAAAAGTGTGCATTGATATGAAATTATCAAATTACTGAGCTTTACACTCTATGGATCAATCACTGTATATACATGCTTAAGGTTGCTTCCTAGAAAAATTTCCCATGTATATAATTTGATCTCTTGACATACTATCACATATATATGAAATATTGAAATATACTAAACCTTATCTTGTTTGTAATTTTCCCATTCCAGCTAGATCAAACCCAGGCCAATAGTCTAATCCAAACTCAATTACGACTCAATATGTGAAAATAAGCTAAGTTGATCCATGATAATCCACTAAAGTAGTACTATGAGGACTTTATGGAGAAAAGCTATCAAATTTTTAATAGGGTAAATCTAACAAGTTTTGCACATTTTAAGATTAATTAGCCTTTCCTAAGATTTATAAACTATAAGTAACTCTGCCTGGTTTGACATCACACGTTAAATTCATGCTTGCTCATGTCTATTTTTACATTTTTAACCATAAAATCCATTTTCCTACTTGCTTCGTATTCACCTAAGTCAGAGGTCCTTTCCTCACTCCTTTTATTAATTTTTATTTGTTCTGTTTTTTTAAAACATTTTGCAGACTTTTTGGGCACTTTGTCTGTGAAAATTTGGGGCTCCCGCTGTTTTGGGGATTAAGTGAAAAAAATCGAACATTTTGGGGGATTTCGTGACAAGCCCCAAAGTTTGTAGGTTAAGTGACATTCATAAAAGTTTAGGGGGGTTATCTCCAAATTGGGCAATTTTTTTAATTTTTCATCTTATTTTTGTTTTAGCCTTTTAGGCGTGGGTGGTTGGGCTGGGGAGCGGGGTGGTGGAACTGAGACTTCATTTTCTAATTATGTGGTTTCGCTAAATTTTGTCAGTACACGCTGACTTCACTTGAGATCCTGAAAAAAAAAAATTCACTTATGGCAGTTCACATAAAGGAAATTTATCGATTTAAAGTTCAAAATATTGGTTACTCTATATGCATTATCTGTTGCTAAATCCAATTAGTAAGGAAACATTCAACTACGTACAATCTCATCACTTTTTCGAGATGACAATAACATGCAAAATAGTATAAGAACACATGTAATCTTACCCTAGAAAATTTTGAGTGTTCTCACCATTAATCAATTCTCTACTATCTCTGTCCAACAAATTTGTTACACAATAACTTTGAGGGAGACAAGCACGCAAGATGCAAGCATAAAAATCCATCATTTTCACAATATATCCCACAAACTTGAAGAAACAAAAAAGGCAAAAAAAATAAAATTAATGGTTACCTTGGAGTTCCTTCAAGAATTGAGAAAGAGCTAGCTGATGGGAAATTGCATAATCAAATAAAGGAGAAGAATTGAAAAAAAAAAGTCTAAATTTGGATTTACGGTAGAGAGAAGAAAGGGAGAGACGATGGTTTGGCTTGAATTGTGGGGGACTGATGGTTATCTTAAGGAAGCTCCCGTTTTTGATGGGCATTGCAGAATTAGGACACTTGTCAACTGCTTAGGACCTTCTGTCTAAGAGTTACATGCAACCTTTCAACCTCAGCTGGACCCGAGGTGGCAAATTGGTCTCAATTTTAAGCAATCTGATAATTCTAAATATGGATATCTGGCTGATATATCAACACTTCAAAGCCACGATGAATATTATAGTTTTATATTATAATATATTAGAAAAATTATGTCAAGGTCCTAAATTTAAAGAATCAATATGACCCAGTCCCTTCTATTCTTTCCCATGTGCAATAGCCCTCAAAATTCAAGTTGAATAAGATTCAGCCCCTCCACATCAGCATACACACTTTGTATACTGTATTTCCCTAAAATTCTAAGTTTACCCTTCCTTTCATTCTTTCAATCTCAAAGAACCCATCATTTCTCTTCCCCGCTTTAAAAAACCTAACTTCCTCCTTGATCTCCTCCCCCATCTTCAAGCAAAGCCTCTCACCTCTGATCTCGTCTCCTTCTCAATACAATAACCAATATACAAAAAATAATAATAAATACATGATATTTACGTGGTTCAGAAAATTTGCCTACGGCCACGGGAGCCGCACAAAATAATTTCTTATTTAACCACAAGAAATTACAAACTTATAAAAAAAGAGAAGATCTCAAATTTGAGATCTCTCAATCAAAATAACGATTATTGTAGAATTGCTACAGTACTATATGTGATTTTTTTTTAAAAAAAATCACCACTCAATCTCTTCTCAAATATCAACGCAAGTCTTGAGAAATCGCCGCTGGAGACAAGCC